GAATCGCAACGCGGAATGAAAATCGCAACGCGATTATAGTTTCGTGTTGCGATTTTTGGTTTCGTGTTGTGATTCTCTCGTTGCGATTTTCGTTTCGCGTTGCGATTTTCATTTCAACCAAAAGACAAAACAGTGTTGCTAAAATATAGTTTCAAGAATAAACTATTTCTTCTTCTTCTGCAAATTGAAACTTGAATGGATTTCATTACTTCAACCAAAAGATAAAACAAAGACAAATACTAACTTCAGAGTATTAAAGAATACACAGTTTAGCAGAATTGGCAGCAAACGAACAAATTTACTTTTAACCAAAGGACAAAACAAAGACAAATACTAACTTCACAGTGTTAAAGAATACACAGTTTAGCAGAATTGGCAGCAACCGAACAAATTTACTTTCAACCAAAAGACAAAACAAAGACAAATACTAACTTCACAGTGTTAAAGAATACCAGTTTAGCAGAATTGGCAGCAAACCAATAAATTTACTTCAACCAAAGACAACAAAGACAAATACAACTTCACATGTTAATAAACAGTTTAGCAGTATGGCAGCAACCGAATAAATTTACTAAGCAATCTAAGTGAAATACGAGTAAATTTATCATCAAGTTTAATATGGAAAATCTTAAACTTACCTCGTTGCGTAGAGTATGAACCTCATCTGCAACGATACTACATCTCACGTAGAGCGGCAACCTCACCACGTAAAGTAGACACCTCCACACGCCATGCACCATCGTTATCGCGTAGTAGAGTACCGATCTCCTCACGCAAGGCATTGACCTCATCACGTACTCCCTTGACTCATCCGTGGAGGGGAGGTGGAGAACAGGGAGATAGAGTCGTGGCATCTTTGCTGCGCCTATCTCGAAGTAGATGAAGTGGAGGCTACTCATCATTCGTGCCATCAGAAAACGCTGACTAGCTTGCCACCAATCAGTGGCAAGCTCACCTCCGTGGGTGTCATCTCATTAATGGAGTGTTGGCCTCCTAAAAATATAAAACTCAAAACAAGTTAACGTCTACTATTAATAACTTGTTTGTATAATAGTATTTGTGTTAACTTACATTATTTATTGTCGCATATGGTATTAATTCTTCCCAATCCCACAGACGTTCCTCTTCCAGGAATCCCTAGGAATATCATTTGAAGTTTTTAATGCATATGTCCGCATGCTGGGGAAAGCCTCGAATATCCAAATCTACAAACAATATAATAACAAACATTAGTAATTGTTAAATAATTAATTATAATTTTGAAAACATTATTATAGAAATTCTTACCTTAAAAGGCTCAAACAAAGCCTGGACAAAGTGTATTTCGACCCATCGCCACGCAAACTTTTGCGGTCATCAAAGGCAGACGACAACTTAGTCCAGGTAGCTTTCCATATATGTGAACCCCACGGAAACAGATTCCATGCATTTAGGTCATCTACCAATAATATTAGCTCCTGAGGAATAGGTTGTCTGGCCTCTTTGCCTAAAAAGCCGGCATACAAAAGTACTAGAAGGCATACTCGGACAACATCGGCGTCATTCATCCGAGTAAAACCATCTTTCTTATTAAACAATTTCTTCAGATCGTCGACGTGTAAGTTCGGCTTCTTTATTGACTCATCAGGAAAAACCCTGGATAACCATGATAGGCGGGTGATATGACGAGTGTACCGGCCTACATCATCGTGTCCGAATAGTAGACCAGTGATTAAGCAGAACTCATTCCGCCCAAAATAAGTATACGCCGGTGGAAAATGAAACCATATCTCTTCCTCACCACGTTGTATACTGTCGGGTAGATCGCTAGTCATGGTCTGAAGCCACAAATGGGTCAAATTAGCATCTTCACCCGGATGTTGTACTCTCAGCCATGGCCCGAAGCAGGTTTCCTCAAACAATTTTCTTTGTGCAGGTGAAAGCTTCGAAACAATTATAGTGGCTAGCCTAACTTTATTCCTTAATGTCAATGAAGCCGAAAAAAATTTCTACAAAAACAATAACATACCAAGTTAGATATACCAAAAACATCTTTCGGTTGAAATGAAAATCGCAACGAGAGAATGAAAATCGCAATGCGGAAATGACTATCGCAACGCGAAATGAAAATCACAACGAGAGAATCGCAACGCGAAATTAAAATCGCAATGCGATTTTGGTTTCGCGTTGCGATTATATCGTTGCGATTTTCATTTCGCGTTGCGATTTTCATTTCTCTCGTTGCGATAGTCATTTTCGTGTTGCGATTTTCATTTTCATGTTGCAATTTTAAGTTTAGAAACTATTCTTCTTCTGCATTACTTCAACCAAAAGACAAACAAAGACAAATACTACTTCACGGGTTAAAGACTAAACGTTTAGCAGTATTGGCAGCAATCGAATGAATTTAATAAGAAATCTAAGTGAAATGGTTAATCTATTATTGAAATTACCAGTAAACTTATTATCAATTTCAATATGAAAAACCTAAAATAATGCAAAAATTTCAAAATAAAAATAATTAAAAAATCTAACCCTCGGAGGTTGATTTTCCATTTATGAATGATTGTGAGGGATTTCTGACCGTGAATGGTTGTGAGGGATTTCGCCGTAAATGGGGACGAAAATCTTCGGAGATGGGGACGGATTTCGCCGTAGAGAGTGAGAGATGGAGATGAGACTGAGTTGTGATTTTAGGTTTTAGGTTATGAGTTGCGATTACGGGATATACTGTGGACGGTTCAGTTTTCGATATATTAATATATTCGTGTTTGGAATTTGAAAAAAAAATACGCGTTAATACGAATGGCGCTATGTAAATCGCAATGTGAATTAGGAAAATTGCAATGCGATTACGTAATCGCATTGCGATTTACGTAATCGCATTGCGATTTTCCTAATTCGCATTGCGATTTACGTAATCGCATTGCGATTTACGTATTCGCATTGCGAATTAGGAAAATCACAACACGAATTTGGGAAATCGCAATGCGATAGTCAGAATCGCGTTGCGAATTTGGAAACTGATTTGCGATACCGGAGATCGCGTTGTGAATTATCGATCGCATTGCGATTTAGTTGGTCATTTTGGCAAATCCAAAAAAAGTTGGTTAAAATCGTATATTATAAGGCATTTTTGGTCATACGTATTCGCATTGCGATTAGGAAAATCACAACACGAATTTGGGAAATCGCAATGCGATAGTCAGAATCGCGTTGCGAATTTGGAAACTGATTTGCGATACCGGAGATCGCGTTGTGAATTATCGATCGCATTGCGATTTAGTTGGTCATTTTGGCAAATCCAAAAAAAGTTGGTTAAAATCGTATATTATAAGGCATTTTTGGTCACTGAGGTTATTTTCTCTAAAAAAAATTGGAATAAATTATATATATATAATCATTGTTCACTTACCTATTTGATGTTTTAGGGACAAATTTATTACTTTTGAAACTTTAGTGGGAAAAAGAATAATTAACTCAAACATTAGTGATCATTTTTGTAGTTTTCCTTTCTAAATTTATAAATTTATTGTACTGCATCAACAATCCATTAAAGATCTATCAGTAATTAACCCTTAGTGATTATATGTTAATTAAATAAAAACAAAAGTAATCAAATCTTAATTAAATAAAAACTAGAATAATCAAATATTATTTTTTTATTCAATGAAGTTTGTGTACAAAACTTAAACAAAAGTATTATAGTATAGCCAAATATTTATTTTAACCCATTTTTGGGTAAATTATTCATTTAGTACCTAAATTTTTTATTTTTTCAAAACCAATCCTAATGTTTAATTTTTATTTCATTTTTGTACCCATCATTAAAAACTTAACACATTTAATACATAAAATATCAGTTTTAGTCCATTATAGTAATTAAATCAATTTTTTTCAAAAATTAATGTTAAATTTTGAATATAAATATCAAAATGAAATAAAAATTTAAAATTTAAAAAAAAATTGAAATACTAAAACATATTAAAATTAATATTTTAAATACACATTGTGGAATCCAATAAGGGGGTGTTTGGTTCAAGGATTGTGGGATTCCCATGAGATGGGAATCCCATATTCCCATGTTTGGTTGGCCGGGAATCTCATTCCCAGTAATGTTTTATTACCAATAGTAGATTTTTTTGGGTATATTACCGGGAATGTCATTACCTCCCTTCCCTTAGGTATTATAACATTACCGGCGTTTTGGACTAAAATGCCCTTAAATTTTTATTTTTTTCAAAAATATCCTTCTTCTGTCATTGAATAATAAAAATTCTACGAAGGTTAAATTACAAATTTATCCTTAAATTATTTTAGATTTACAAAAAAAAATCTATAATTAAAATTTTATATAAAGTTCAGGGGTTAAAATTTTTTTATCATTTCATTAAACATTTTTTATATTTTTAATTTTGTAAAAAAAATTATATAAATATTATGAATTTAATTTTTTAAAGAAAATATATAAATATTTTACAATTTGTAATATTATACAATTATATAATAAGAACAATTTGGTCAAATATACATTTCAATAATCTTTTATTCATTTAACCAAACACGGTAATCTTACATTCCTGTTAAACCAATTAAACACAAAATACAACATTTTCAGTAATCATATTCTTTGATAATCTTTTATTCTCACTGATAATCTCACATTCCGTGAACTAAATACATTCTAAATATAAACAAAAATCCATGCTGACAAAGGATTTGTCACGTAACTCAGAGTAGCTCAAATTCGGTAAGAAGGACCACGCACCGAAAATCAGTTTCTCAATCACTCAATCTTTTAATATTTAAATAAAATAAATTTTTAAAATGACCGCCAATATTAGTTTTTAAATTTTAAAGACTTTTCCTAAAACTTTACCTAATTCATAAAATCCTGAAATCATGCTTTTTTTAAGTTTTAATTTCCGAATCATTAAATTTATTTTTAAAAAACTTTCTCATGACTTATAAAAATCAACGTACCATGTTAATAAATATTTAAATTAATAAGAGTGTAGCCGTGATAAAAGAGTCTTAAATAAATCACCAAATTACAGAGTCGCACTAAAATCTAGAGCCTCCAATACACACATTACAGCACTTCCCCCCTAATACTAACTAAAAATTAATTAAAAGACCTAAAACGTAAATTAGTGGAGAAATAAGCTCTAGCTAACGCCGGGAAGCGGAGGAGCGGCGAAGATACCGGCCTTTTTTTTCGTTGATTAAACTTCACAACTTTACTGAGAAACTACCAATGGTTGCACTTTCGGCGGTCGGCCGCGGCCTCGCTTAACACCCGGTGGCGGAGGAGGAGCGGTGACGGTGGCGGTAGTCTTGGCTTTCTTAGGTGGACGTCCACGTGGCCTTCCAGTGCTGACGGGGGTTTTCGGCTTAGGGGGAGCTGACAAATCCCTGGGCTTCGGCGGACGACCGCGTGGCCTGGGCGATGACACGACGGCATCGGGCGGAAGAGGGGACTTGGGTTTCGGTGGACGTCCACGTCCACGCTTGGGTGGGCCATTGGGGTCGGGTTTCATGTAATTGTCGTTCGACATTACAAGTTCACCGCTCTGTTTCATCAGGTTGAGGTGATGGGAGAGGAGAGTGTAGTGATTCTCCGGGAGATCCGAGTGAGTCAACTCGATGTGTTTCGTGATTGATGCCATGTTCGACCCGTCTTTCTCGTTCAAAGCTTCAATGGTTTCCATAATCATCTACCCAGCAAAAAACTCAGAATAAACCCGGGGGGGGGGAACAAGTTGAAACGAAATCTCCATAACTAAAAAAACCCAAAGAAAAAAACAACGAATTGCATGCAAAACTACCTGAGTGTAGTCTGGAAGAGAAGATTGTTGAGAAGCATGTATGCCTCGAGTATGATTACTTTCTTCAGTCGCCATGCAAACCTTTAAATTTTTTTAAAAATCCTTTCTATTTCCTGAGAGAAAGACGAAATGAAACTGTGGTTTGTTGGTTTTTATTGTGAGATCTTCAGGATTTAAAAGGGAAAAAGCTTTGGGATCGAAGGGAAGAGGGGGAAGGAGATGAAGAACATTGGGTATGAGCTATAATCCAACGGCTAGGGATAGCTAGTTTGGGCTTTTATCCAACAGTGTTTGTTTGTTTCATACGAGATTACGAGGATTGATGACGTGTTTCCGAATTTTGGATTACTTAACTTCATTTTCATTTTTTGTTTGTCTCCTTTCTTGAATCATCTGTTATATCATAAATTAAGGATAAAATTTAAAAATATTTTTTAAATTATTTTCAAATAAATTTTTAAGTTTTGGATTTTCAAAAATTTTAAAATAAATATGATTTTTTATTAGAAAATAGATATTTAATTTTGAGTATAGTTAACTAGGGGTGTTCAAAAAATACCTGATCCGAATTACTCGGCCTGTCGACCCGATAAAAAAATTCGGGTATTTTTTTTTAAAAATTCAAGTTTTGGATCGAATATCCGGCCTGAAATTTTCGTATATCTGGTTACCCGAGTACCGGATTACATTTATTTTTATATAATAATATTACATATTTAATTATTAATAATTTTATATATTAAATTAAACTAATAAAATCTATATATAAAAAAGTCCCTCCCACTTAGCAGTGACACACTCAATTGGAAATTTGGATTCAAACCTTTAAACTTGTGTATATTTTTTTTAAAATTAACAATTTGAAAATGATAAAAAAATCATGTACTCGATTACCTGAATTATGAGCACCCGTAAAATTCGAGTACCCAGTAATATTCGGGTCAGGACATGAGTTAGCCAATCAAATACCCGACGACTCTGAGACCCAAAACTTTGGGTACCCGAAAACCCAGGTACGCGAATTTGAACACCCCTATAGTTAACTATAATGATAAAACATATTAAAATTAAGAGTTAACTAGACAAATGATTACTTGTGTTTGTGTTTTATCTACTTTTAGTCACTGATTTAAAAAAAATATAGATATAATCACTTTTGTTTTATTTAATTAAGATGTGATCATCACGGGTTAACTGTGTTAACAACTAACAGAATATGTCGCGTGATAGTTGGTATAATCACACATTTGATATCTGTTATTTACATATCATCTCAATTTAATTATACTTTTACACAGATTTTAACATAATATATATTTTTAAATGAAAATAAAAATAAAATATTTTTAAATTAAGTTAATAATAAAATATATCTAATAAGATAATATAAAAAATATTTTTAAGTATTTATACACTAAGATACAAAATATATACACCATATTATCTATTTTAGACCAAGCATTGGTCTTGGCTTAATGGTTGGATACATGTTTAGTTTCCTAAGTGACCAAGGTTTGAATCTTTTTTGCCCCTATTTGTTTTCCTTTGATTATTTCAATCGGGGTGACACATGTCACTCTTTGATTGGCAGAAATAAATATATTAAATTAAAATAAAGTTAGTTTGAATGGTGACACATGACATCATTCGATTTGATTATTAAATTTATTTTAATTTATTAAAAGTAAGACTAAATTGAGAGAATATGTAAATAACATAAACAAAATGTGTGATTATATCAAAATATTTAACTGCGGTTAACGACAGTTAACTCGGGCTGACCACATCTTAATTAAATAAAAAACGAAAATAATCATATATTACTTTTTCTAAAATCAATAATCAAAAGTGGACAAAACATAAACATAAGTGATCACCCGTATAGTTAACCCTAAAATTAATAGATGGTATCTCATTTGTTCTCTTAATTTTTTTATCTAACATCATCGTTCTTCTTCTCTTATGAAACTACAGTTTTTCAGTGGTTCTTTCGTTTTATGATTGAACCACCACTTGATCTCTAGTGTGGTTTTATTGTTAGTTTGATCTAGTCTTATAGGCCAAATAGTGGGTAAGGGTGTAGTTTAAATTGGTTCAGGGTTTAACATGATTAGTAAAAGGGGTAGGCATGATTTTGGTTTAATGTTTAACTCATGTCAATGGAGGTTGATGGGAGACTTGAATGTCAAGGCAGGGATTTTGGCTTAATTGAGTGACTACTTTGTGACTTTTTAAAATTGAGTTGCAGATTTATAATCTTACCAGTAATTCGTGATTCATTCATCACCTTACTAGTAATTAGATGATTACTGGTGTTATTCACCCAATAAGAAAATCATTAAAAAATATTTGTTAATGGCATATGATCTATCCGTAAAAATCAATTAATTAAGTGATTTGTTTGTAACCTTTTGAAATTAAATGATTAATTTGTAATCTTACTGATAATGAGTGGACTGGCATACGATGTTATTCACCCTAGATTATATAATTTATTGTCGGTATCATGTATGACCATAGCTTAATAAAAAAATAGTATATTGTTTAATATTTACTATAGTATTTTGTAACCAAAAAGAATATAATAAATTAAACATTTAGTATTTAAATTATCAGTTTTGATTTGTCTTAGTACCTAAATTTTTAATTTTTTTAAAGTCATATCTAATGTTTAATTTTTGTTTCATTTTAGTACCCATCATTAAAAACTTAACACATTTAGTACCTAAAATATCAATTTTGATCATTTTTAATACCTAAATTTTTAATTTTTTTAAAATTAACGTTAAGTTTTTAATAGGGTACTAGAATGATATAAAAACTAAATATTAAATATGATTTGAAAAAGATTGAAAGTTTAGTTAGTAAAATGGATCAAAACTGATTAGTTAAACTAGTAATTTACCCAAAAGAATATCATTTGCCCTCTCTCCCAATGTATTCTGTTTATGCCAAGAATCTAAAAGAAAGAGAGAAAACAAAGAGTGCAGAAACAGAGAAGAGAGGGCTCGCTCTTGGCTTACAAAGGGAGAGCATGAAACTACTGCTAATCCCAACTGTTTTAAAGAACAATGTCTTTTTTTAGAAAAATAAGTGAAGAAAAAACCAGAAACAAAATCCGGGTATTTGCAGGTTTCGAGAGAAAACGAGGGAATCTTCGCAGTTTAGAGGAAGAAAGGCAGTTGAGTCTTCTTTGAGATTGTAAGGATATTTATACAGAGCTTTAATGGCTGTGGTTTTTGAAGATAAAAGAATTACAAATCACTTGATCTAGGCTTACGAACAAGAACATCGAAAACTAATAACCAAAGCATGCAATTCATTAAGGGTTTGCAAGAAGGCGACCTACATTGATTAAACATTAATTCAAGGTCTTTGTGATAAAATATTTAGAATTCCAGCTAAGTTTGAAACTCTCATGGGGCCTCAATAATAACTCTAATATAAATTATTAATATTTTTAAATTTAATAATTAAAATAAATACAATAATATACTAGAGAGAGGAGAGGGTAGTTGCAGTGTCATCAAACCTCCTTTAAATGCACAGCCTTCCCTCTGTAATGGATCCCCAGCAAACATTCATTTCATGGTGCACATTTCCTTACACAAAAACTAACAGCATGTCTTCATTAATCTGCTTTTCTTCTTCCCATAGAATCTTTTGAACTTCACAAACCCTAAATATAATATATTACTTGGAGAAGAAAGGTCTCTCTCCTCTCTCCAACCAATGTTAAGTTTCCCCATTTTTTTCTAAAAAAATTATTTATGGGTTTAGTTGACAAAAGCTGATTACGAGGAAGTTTCTACGACCTTTTCCCCCTTGAGAGCTTGAACCATGCCTTGTCCTCGGCTGACAATGCTGAAACAATTTAGTAGATTATTAATATTTTATATTTAGGGTTTGGAGTAGTTGTACTCTTAAGGGCATTTAGGACTTTTACTTAGAATCGTCTTCATCCTCCGAACCCTAAATGTAAAAATAAAATGGAAACGTACAAACTAGAAAGAATTCCCATATATATATATATATGGGGTAAGGGAATGTAAGATAGTAGGCTACCCTCAATACCAGATTAAGAGCAGCTTCCGTAAGAGACATCCGAATTGTAAAATGCATGTATGCTAATTAATATACGTTGGAAGGGTGCGGTGTCCCAAGCCATGAGAAAACGTGTTGGCCCTGTAAGACAGGCATCCTCTTTGAGACGCATTTAAGTCTATAAAAACCAGACGTGGGCATCATATTAACCGTCCGATCATCTCGTGTCACTCTCGTTTTTTTCATATCATACTACGTTTGGAGAATGAGAATCTTCTAATCAACATGTAACGTTATGATGAGGGTGTGATTATTAATGATAGTCCCCTTATAAATCACTATACCATATATCAACTAAGATAGGGTTATTATTTATTAAAACCTTACCCTATACCCTGGGTCAAAACCCCAGTTATGGTGATCATTCATTTTTTAGGGTTTAATCTCTTTCCATGGTGGATATCATCGTTTATATTTATTGCTATAATTTATTACAATAACATTGTTTGAAGCTTTCTTCCCATGGCAGAAAGGAGGCAACAGTTTCGCAGAAGGAATCAAAAGGAACTGAAGCAAATTTAATTCAAAAGACAATATTGAATCTCTTAGCATTGACAGAGAGAGAGAAAGGTACAGTACATAAGAAAGAAGAAGAAGAAGAAGAAGAAACAAGAGCATTAACACTAGCCTTTCCCCATTGTCATTCTCTTTTTCACCCATTTGCTCTCATTTAAAAACATCACTGAAAAGGCTAAAGCCAATGCTCTCTCTTTCTCTCTCTGATCTCATCATCATTCACTAATCACTAAAGTAAAAAAGAAAAAAGAAAAAAAATCTTAGTCATTATGTTAATTGTGAAGAGGATTAGGCCCCGTATGAACTATCCTCTTATCATCTTCGTTCCCAGAAAACACAGGTGAGGTTGAAGGAGCTTGAAAAGAATTTGCAGTATCAAAAACCCAGACTTTCCTCGGTGGATTGAAGCTTTCTTCACGAACAGCAGAATGAAAACCCAACCGGGAGAAAACCAGGATAACCCACAACAACAACACTACAGCTCTTGAAGTTTTCATTTGCAGTAACTGATAAA